TTTTAAAAAAGATTTCTTATGCATTATTTTAATATTAATAATAAACCATTAATACATTTAATTATAATTATATTGTTGTGCCGAGCGGGGACGGACCGAAGACAAAGGCGCAGACGTCAGGGTATCAGGGAATATGGGGTTTAATTACAGGTAAGGCAGGCAAAACGCAGACGGACAATACAATGACCGGACTGGGGAAACAAACTGAAACGCGGACGAAATACAGAGGACTAATGACAACAACCAGAAACTGATCACACGGGGATTCCACACGGGGTTAACGAGGGGGCGTGACACACGGAAGGAGCGGACGATCGGGGCAGGACACTATGTTTGGATACATTTATTTTCTTTACAAATTACTGTTTTGATAAATGTGCTTAGATGTGTTTAGTAGAATATATGCTCTTCTTGTTTTATCCGGTTCATTTTGTGTTTTAAATGCTAAAAAAACATATTTAGGTGTAATTTTTTGGGGCCGGGAACCAATTAATTGGTTTTCCATTATTTCTTATGGGGAAAATTCGATCACAACTCAAACTTTTTAGGATTCGATCCGGAGTTCTGAACGGATTACATTCAAGTTATGAGATACCACTGTACAACCAAAAAGTAAGATCATCAGAGTTGAGTGTTTTATGATGACATCTTAGCTCTTGGTTCTATGGCATTTCTCAGCAATGCTGCTCATGTACAATGACAGTGCTCACACTGGGCTTGGCACAATGCTCTGATCATTTGAAAACCCCCTAACAGGTGGATCTCTCTCTCTTTTCAGGGTGGAAAAATGGCCTACTTTGAGATGCTTCCTGAGTACAGCGTGGATATTGACGTGGACATCGATTGGCCTGTTGCTGAGCAAAGAGTTCTCAGGTAGAACAACTAAAAGCTTGGTGTTAATTGAATAATGAAGTAAAATGGATCACACTGGTTTGTATCAGTATTTACGTGGAGTGGTACTTTTTGACCCCCCAGGATATATATTTTTAATTTGAATGATATGTGTTTTTCATGTATGGAGATCTATATTGGAAACGGTAATAATCAAATTTGTGGGACAGTTACTGTAATTCAAGTTCTTCTGGAGTTCCACAGATCATATTGGGTCTCGGCCTAAATCAGTGCACTGATCTCTATGCTGTTAGATGATAGTGGCTGTGTGATGTGACCCCCCACAGGTATGGTTACTTTGGGATGGATAAACTGGAGGTGATAAAGCTACTGCTGTGCAACATCTCTGGATGCCTGACAGATGGTCAGATGTACATGTCTGCTGCAGGCGAGGAGATGGTGTCTGTCAACTGCCAGGATGTGGTTGGCATTGGCATGCTCCAGCAGGAGGGAGTGGAGGTACTTTGGCAGAGCTTTTCCCTGTAAAGTCTCTCCTTCATCTTCCATTCATCCGTATTTCAACCACATCTTGAGCTGAAAGCTATTCCCAGCAACACGAGGCTGGGGCGGACTTTCACATTCAATTTCTTTATGTATTTTTTGTTTATTACATTTATTTTAATATGGTATTCTGCTGACCCCCTGATTTTAACAGTCACTGTTACAGATCGTTCTGCCCCAGTCACTTGAACCACAGTGACAGTGCATGTCTGTGGTGGCATCTCTGCAGGTGATCCTCCTCTCCTCAAAGGATTGTCCAATCTCCAGAGCCCTGGAAGACAAATTGTCCCAGAGGGTAGGCTGTAAATTGTGGCTGGATGTGCAGGACAAGCACTCAGAGGTGAAGATGATCATGAAGCAGAAAGGGCTGGAATGGAAGGAAGTGGCATATCTAGGTGAGAACATTTCAGAGGCCTGTAAATCCATCCTTCCATCCACTGTATATTCTTTTCAGCATAGTGAATAGTATATGGTCTCAGCATACCTGCAATTCATTAAACTAATTGCATATTTTCTTTAGATTATAGTATGTATTAGGGATGGACAATTAATCGTTTTTAATCGCGGGCTCGATTCATACCCCTATGCGGTCTCCGATCAGAAAACAAATCTAATGTGTGGAACAAGGTAAAAGAAAACAATGAAGTTGAAAACAAGAAGAAAATGATTTGGACTTCAATACCCTGCCATGACAGTGAAGAAGAGGAAAGAAATTTTTCCAACCTCAGTTTAAGCAATAATGAAGTGTCGTACTGAAAAACATTTGTTTTATTTTTTGATTAACATATGAAATTTGAACATAAGAAATTTACAAACGAGGGGAGGCCATTCGGCCCATCAAGCTCGTTTGGGAAGAACTTAACTAATAGCTCAGAGTTGTTAAAATCTTATCTAGCTCTGACTTAAAGGATCCCAGGGTTTTAGCTTGCACTACACTAACAGGAAGACTATTCCATACTCTAACTACACGCTGTGTAAAGAAGTGCTTTCTCAAATTAATTTTAAAATGTTCTCCCAGTAATTTCCATTTATGACCACGAGTTCTAGTATTTAAACTAATATTGAAGTAGCCATTTGGCTGAACAGCATCTAGATCTGTTAGAACCTTATATACCTGGATCATGTTCCCCCTTAGTCTCCTTTGCTCGAGGCTAAACAGATTGAGCTCAGCTAACCTCTCCTCGTAAGACATTCCTCTAAGACCAGGAATCATTCTTGTAGCCCTACTTTGCATTCTTTCCAAGGCAGCAATGTCCTTTTTAAGGTATGGTGACCAAACCTGTGCACAATATTCTAGGTGGGGACTTAAAAGGAATTGTATAGGAATCTTAGCATCACCTCCCTTGACTTAAACTCCAAACACCTAGAGATGTAACCCAATGTCCTATTAGCCTTTTTTATTGCTTCCCCACACTGGCGAGAGTGGGACATGGATCCATCAACATACACACCAAGGTCTTTTTCATAATCAGCTACCTTTATTTCAGTGGAACCCATAAAATATCTGTAGTTTATATTTCTGCTCCCGGCATGGATTACCCTACATCAGGGGTCTCCAACTCCGGTCCTGGAGAGCTACTATCCAGTTGGTTTTGAATCCTACCTGGCTTCTGATGGGCCACACCTGTTCTCAGGTAAATACCAGGGCCAGGTGTGGCTCATCAGAAGCCAAGTAGGATAGAAAACCTACTGAATAGTAGGTCTCCAGGACCGGAGTTGGAGACCCCTTCCCTACATTTATCTATGTTAAATTTCATCTGCCAGGTATCAGCCCAGTCGCTAATTAAATCAAGATCCCATTGTAGCGTCTGTGCTGCTAGCTCACCTTGGTGTCATCTGCAAATTTAACTAGTTTATGTATTGGTGTCAATATCATTAATGTAAATTAGGAACAATAGTGGTCCTAAAACTGAACCCTGTGGTATCCCACTATGAACGCAGGCCCACTGTGACATTGTGCCTCTAATAGCTACCCTCTGCTTCCTGTCTGCTAACCAGTTTTCGATCCAAGCTGCTACAGTTCCTAAAATCCCTGCAGCTATGAGTTTAAGCAAAAGCCGTTTGTGGGGGTAATCTAAGTAGATCACATCGTAGGCCTTTTTGTGATCAATTTCTCTTGTAGCTTCCTCAAAGAACTCCTCAAAGAAAGTAGATGAGTTAAACAGGATCTACCTCTCCTAAATCCCTCAGAATGTTATTTGAATCCAGGTAATCTACCATTTTCACTTGGATTATAGCTTCCATTAATCAGACCACACCAGCAGATAAGGATTTCTGAAAAGTTAAAGGTTAGCTAATAATATCCCTCATCTCTTTTAAAACTATAGATAAGATGCCATCAGGGCCCTGTGATTTATTTATTTTGAGCTTATCTAGGCTTTGTACCACATCAACCTAAGTTATACATATATTGGTCATAGACGAGGCTGTATTTGTACTAAATGGTGGTAAGTTACTCGTGTTCTCTACTGTGAACACCCGTGTGAAATAATCATTAAATTCATTTACTATATCAATATCCTTTTCATTTGTAAGGCCCTTACTATCCTGCAAATTGGTGAATTCAGATTTTAGAGCTCTTTTGGAGTTAAAATATTGGAGGAAACTTAATATCCTCCTTAGCCTCCAATTTAATCTTCCTTTCTACATTCCTCTTAGCGAGTCTGTTATTTTTTAACTCAACCTGTAGACTTAAATACTCCTGCTTTATTTTGAAATCATTAGTTATTTTCCATTTGTGGAACAGAGCCCTTTTCCTCCTGACTTTATTTTAATTTCCATAGTAAACCACCTTGGTTGCAATTTCTTAGATTTAGTTTTGCTGGAAACAGGTATGAAGTCCTCTTGCACTTGCAACAATGTGCTTTTAAAAATTTTCCATGCCTCTTCAACAGTTTTGCTATTTAAACATCCAGTTTATGGTTTCTAGTTTCAGTCTCATACCATTAAAGTTAGCCTTCCTTACATTGTCTACTTTTGTTTTGGACTAAGGTCACTAAAATTTACCTCAAATTTAACCACGTTACGATCACTACCATCCAGTGGTTCTAAAACCTCTAATTAACGGCACAAACCAGCACAAACGCAGCACACACGATTGCGATCGGTCTGGTGGAAATCAGACACAAATGGGGGGCCAACTTCACGCTGATGACATCACCATGTAAACACACATTTATATCTCAGAAACTAAAACAGCACAAACAAAAATGTTAACGCCACAATCCGGCACAAACGCGGCACATACGATTGAGACCAGTTTGGTTGAAATCTGAAACATATGGGAGGCCAACTTCACGCAGGTCATTTACATGGCTTTAAAATTTTGTGTTTTTGTCAAAAGAGGGTCTGAAATACATCATTCAGCTTCACCTATGAAATTATGAGACTGAAGTCTTACAGTTAAAGGTATGACCAAGGGTATAAGGTTTAACTGGTATGATCAGCACCCAGGCATGACCCAGTCTCTTTTCATAGTATCCTTGCCTGGAGTTAAAGTGTAGCCAGCCCCGCCTAACTGTTTAATTTTGGCATGCTCCATCCAGGCAACGATGAGCCAGACGTGGACTGTCTGAACCTGTGCGGGCTCAGCGGCGCGCCTAAGGATGCTCCGCCAGTGGCCATCAATGCTGCCAAGTATGCTTGCCGCAGCTCCTCAGGAAAGGGCGCACTACGGGAGTTTGCCGAACACATCCTCCTGCTGAAGAAGAGGGCCAAGTCCAAAATGGACCAGGACCGCATCGGCAGAGAGAACTTCTAATGCAGCGTAGGCCACATGATCGTCTCCATCAGGCTAATGTTGAGCCTCCACTTTCCTTTTTAATATTCCTCGAAAATACTTTTGTTTATTGGCTGTGTACATCTAGGTAATTAAGTACAGGTGCCTCCCACAGATGGCGCTGTGGCTCACTGGGTAGCGTTGTGGTCTCACCCCCTTACGGGCCAGATTCCTGCCATGGTCCTGTGTGTGTGGAGTTTGTTCACCCCATGTTCACCCCAGGATCTCCATCTGTAGCCTATTTTACAAATTGTATTTAAATATGTACTACAAGTTTTATTTTTTTTAATGAAGTAAAAGATGAGGTATCCTTTTAAAAATGTTTTGTAAATTTCTGGACACTTCCAGTATCGGTGCAAGAATGAAACTGGGTACCTCGTGTCCTTATAACTATGTACTGGGATTAATGAAGTTGAATCTCTTATTTGGTGAACAATTGGTGACATGTTCCAGGTATTGTTTTCCAAATCCTAGCCATTCTTCATGGGAGGTAGCTGCTAAGATAATTTCTTTTGAATGTACTTTATATTTTAAAATGGATATGGAAATAATTATCAAATATTAATAATAAATGATTGAAAATCTGATTCAATCGCACATAGATCTCTGTAGCATCTGTTATTTCTTCTGGGGGGAGAATGGATGTTGTATCTCCAGGTTTGACAGCTAATAAGCTCTTAGATTCAATGGACGTAATTGTTTCTTTATTAAGGGTCCAAAGCACTATAGTGCTATAGTGCTTTGGACCATTATTGCTTTTCTTAGGATTTATTATTATTTTTCTTCCCTAAAAATGAATGGGCAGCCTAAACCGCAAGACCTAGGCCGACCAAATTGGGCCCGAAGATGTCAATTCTTACCCACTACTCAGATTGTCCGACCCAAGCCTATAAACCAGATGGGGGCGCTGTAGCGCCCCCCAACATGTTTTGGTCTATCTCCTGTCCTGTTAGTCCTACAATCGAAATTCTTTTTTCTGCTGATACAGACAGCCATGCCCTACTAACTTGCCATTTGGATTATGAAGCTCCGCCTACATAGATTTTTAGCTAATTTGCATAATTTGCAAATCCTACTTTTTCCTTAAAGTCCTAGCTTGTCCTACCAAATCAGACAAATGAGGTGTCAAACAAATCAGAACTCTAAGCTGATCAAGAAATATAAAAAAAATGTGGACATTTGTGTATCCTACTGCCATTAGCCACGCCCAAACAATGTCCAAATTTGGCCCATTTTGGTCTGACTGCCATAACTTGGTCGTGCCTTGGCCTACCTTGACCAAATTTGAAATCCTACCTCCCTACACCATTCTGGGGACACTGTCCCAGGCGGGCCGCATTTCCTCAATAGGGGGGTGCTACAAATATCTAATTCCCATGTCTCCCAAACTGCTTGGCCAATCCAAGTGAAATTTGGCATATATGTACTAGGACCCAGCCTGAGGTCAGACACGTACAATGGCAGTCATAAGTCCTAAAACAGTGGCCGGCATCAGCCAATCAAAATCAAGCATTTGACAGGCTTAACAATAACCAATCCAAACCAAATTTGGCTGGTACATTTGTCCTCTGACCCTCAGCCCACCCTGTAAAGGACACCTCACTCAGCCAGATGGGGGTGCTACGGCGCCCCCATTTGCATTTCTGGAAAATTTCTCCAGAACTGTCAAGCCTACAGTTTAAATTTATTGCACTTCCAATTCAGCACATCCAGTCAAATCAAACAACATATAGAACTTGATTCTCCATCTTTGCGTTTTTGCATGATTTATATTTGTCTGAAAACAGGTTTTTTATTAACCTCTTAGGATTTTCGCCCAACCTACATAAATCTGGTGTCATTTAAATCAGGAGACAGTCCTTTTAAAGATTTATAAAAAAAAAAACTGATAATAAAAAAAACTGATTTATAAAAAAAAAAAGCCACACCCTGACTGTACTGGTGCCACGCCCATTTCAATCAGACAGCTATATCTCAGGCATGCTTCAGCCAATCATTACCAAATTTCTCGTACTAATGTAGGGCTCTACCACCGAGAGACCCTACAAATTTCGTATCGATCAGTCAAACGGGAGCGCTACGGTCACTGTTTATATATGTTTAAGACCCACCTAGGCTAATTCAGTTAAAATGAGTTACCAGATCAGGTAGGAAGGTGTCTACCAATCTTACCCAAAGCAGTGGGTGGCTCAGTGGGCTAAACCTGTGTGCTTGTAATTTGACAGTCGCCGGTTCAAACCCAGCTGTGGTGGGTACCCGAGCTAGGCAGCCCAATGTGCACAGTGTACACTCCGTAAAGTTGAGGGAGATGTAAAGGAGTTTTCCCCATGAGGATCAATGAAACTTCTATTATTATTAAACCAGACATTCAGACAGGCTCAGGCACTCTACCGGAGGGTTCAACATTCTGTCCAATGTCTACTGACCTGTTACGCCTATACTGAAAGCATCTCCAGTGGTGGCTTGATGGTTAGGGAAGCCCACTTGTAATTGAAAGATTGCAGGTTCGAATCCCCGACCAGCAAGGCACAACTGAGGTACCCTGAGCAAGGTATCGCCCTCAAGCACTGCTCCCCGGGCGCTGAATTAGCTGCCCCCTGCTATGTCACGAAAGTCACATATGGGTCAAATGCAGAGAACACAATTCGTTGTTGTGCACTGTGTGCTGTGGTGTGTTGACAATGACCACTGATCACTAAATCCAAATCCTAATTTCTACCTATTGCTCAGACCATCTCACCCAAACCAATCCTGTTCTGTCCTGCATCAACTATTCCGTTAGACTTACACTCAATCTCCATCCTGTAATGGGACTATACACTCACCTAAAGGATTATTAGGAACACCATACTAATACGGTGTTTGACCCCCTTTCGCCTTCAGAACTGCCTTAATTCTACG